AGTTTTTATTCTTTTTTTTTTTTTTTTTCTTATTTTATTATTATTGTTTCTGCGTCGCGATGTAATGGGCCACCAAACATAAGAACAATGATGTTTCTTATCTTTTTTTTTAAAAAAGCAACATGATTTGTTGGTGTTAAAAATAATGTGGAGGTTTTCCTTGTAAAATTTTTTTTTTTCTTATATTCTCGGGATCTCCCCCCCCCCCCCCCCCCCCCGAGTCCGAACTCAGCCGGATCATTTTCAGAGTTATTATTGGCTCTATTTTTTTTTATAATATATTTTATTGATTTTTTTACAGAGAGGAAGGGAGAGGGATAGAGAGTTAGAAACATCGGTGGGAGAGGAACATCGATCAGCTGCCTCCTGCACACTCCCCACTGGGAATGTGCCCACAACCAAGGTACATGCCCTTGACCGGAATCAAACCTGGGACCCTTCAGTCCGCAGGCCGACGCTCTATCCACTGAGCCAAACTGGTTAGGGCAGGCTCTATTCTTTCTTGTTAGGTAAGGGTCTCCTTTAAAATGTCGGTCCTGGCTTGATTGTCTCACATTTCCCAGGGCTCTAAGGCTGGCAAGGCTGCAGGGTTTTCTGTGGTGGAATGTCTGTCTTATGTGGTAAGTTGGACAGGTGGCCTTACAGTCTCTGCCAAGTCAGCATATAAGCTGTCAGAGGTCACCAGAAGCAAGTGCTTTTATTTTTTAAAAATACGTTTTTATTGTTTTTAAAGAGAGATGAAGGGAGAGGGAGAGAAACATCCGTGGGCTGCCTCTTGCACGCCCCCTACTGGGGATTGAGCTGGCAACCCAGGCATGTGCCCTTGACCAGGAATCCAACAGGCAACCTTTTGGTGCATGGGTCCATGCTTAACTAACTGAGCCACACTGGCTTCTAAAAACTTTTCTTCTTTTAATGCAGACCACAGAAGGATGACTAGTTCTGTTCTCCTAGGTAGGAAACTAGGGTTATAAGAATTGCTTGGCCATGTCTCAACACAAGTGATCTCACAATGAGTTTTCTGATGCTGCATTGTCCTAACTACACCTTCAGGGTTTCGTGTCAGTGGACTTCTTTTAAAAGTATACGTTTTATGTCCCTGCAAAGGATTCCAGGGACAAGAAGGTCTGAATGGTACCTGGCCGGACAGCGCAGGAACGAGGCAGTATTCCTTTCTCACCTTCTCGTTACCAGTCCTGTTTCCCGAACACTTCTTAGTTTTACTTCTTTTTGGCAAGAGCTGCTCTTCTGTCCACATCCCGGAGTCAAAGGCACCTTTGTGCGTACCTGCCAGCCAGACTGTGTGTGACTGATCGCCTCCAAATTCTATCCGGGTACTGTTTTAGCGGCTCTGATTTCCAAAAAGTGTTCGCCCAGTTCCCAGCAACCGTGCATTCAGAGAGACATTTTACACCAACTGAGTCTATTTTCATAAACGTGTTTAGTTTTCCCTGAGTCCAGTTAGAAGAAGTGGGCCGCGGCTTCCTCCTGCCCTTGACCAAGAACTTGCACCCACACAGAGTGGAAAACAGTGGTGAAAAGTTATGCCCCCTTTGGTAAGCAGGCTGGCATTGGGATGGAATCCAGCTTGAGAGACGTGTCGAACCAACGTATCACTTTCCTTCTGAAGGTGGAAAGCAGGCTGCCTCCTGTTGCCAGTGCTTTTGATTTCTACAAGGGCTGGAATCTCGCCGTCCGGCTGTTGAGACCATTTCATATCCTTCATGCCAGGGTCAATTCAAGTTTGATACTTAACCTTATGGTTTATCCTCTTTAAAAAAAGAAAGAGCCCTAACCGGTTTGGCTCAGTGGATAGAGCATCGGCCTTCGGACTGAAAGGTCCCAGGTTCAATTCCGGTCAAGGGCATGTACCTTGGTTGCGGGCACATCCCCAGTGGGGGGTGTGCAGGAGGCAGCTGATCAATGTTTCTCTCTCATTGATGTTTCTGACTCTCTATCTCTCTCCCTTCCTCTCTGTAAAAAATCAATAAAATATATTAAAAAAATAAAAAAAGAAAGAAAAGTTTGAATCTTTTAAAATATCCCTGTTGGCCCGGCTGGCGTGGCTCGGTGGTTGAACGTTGACCTATGAACCAGGAGGTCACGGTCCGATTCTCGCTCAGGGATCCATCCCCAGTGGAGGGGGTGCAGGAGGCGGCTGATCAATGATTCTCTCTCATCATTGATGTTTCTATCTAGCTCTCCTCCCTTCCTCTCTGAAATCAATAAAAATATTAAAAAATAAAATGTCCCTGTTGGTGCAAACATTGTTCCGGTAACCGGTCCAGCTCAACCCTGTACCACACTTCTCTCCCACACGCAGCCCGATGTTATTTTCCACTTTGGCAAGGTAAGTTCCTTGGTGTTTGCATGAGTAGGAGGAGTCATGGTTTTGATTTTATTCTGTTCTTGGTGGGAGTTGGGCAGGTTAGTCAGAGGGGGTCTCGCCTGGTTGTCTGGGCGCTGGTGCACCCGGATAGCAGAGCGTCACCTGACTCATTTGGGAGGAGAGGTTTTCCTGTCATTGCACCAGGTGGCGTGTCTCTGTCCTAACGCCCTTCTCCCACTGCACGTTACCAGCCCCGAGCGCGCCTCTCCGTGCAGGGTCATGTGTTGCCACACACTCTTTCAGATGCTAAGAGTGTGTGTGTGTGTGTGTGTGTGTGGTATTGCAGTGTCATTAGCTCACTTTCAATGCGTGTGAACATATGGGGAAGCAGGACCCCTGTAATAACCTGCCCTAAATACCTGTGTCCTGGGCGGAGGGAAGCCGTTCCGGAGCAAGGCCTGCCACACCTGGGGGAGCCACTGGTTCTCCTCCAGCGTCAGGTTGTACAGGAAGCTGGAGACAGGGTTGAAAACAGGTCCTGAGCTGGGAACACCCAAGGCCGAGGGAGTTGCCAGTCCAGTGACCCTGGCAGCCTCTGCCACCACCTCCCTTCCTCCATCAGCCGGTGGCAACATGGTCAGCAGCTTCCACCGCGTTGCCAGATGGAGACTGTGTGGCCACAAGCGCGATCCTGGGTGAATAGGCCCGGCCCGGCCGCCTGCCTTGGCTGTGCAGGCCAGGCCTTTGGTCTCAGTGGCAGCTGCCTGTGCCAGCTTGGAGCTGCCGTGGCCACTTGTCAGGTGGACAGACTAGGAAGATCTCTGGGGCGGACACTTGGCTGACGCCGTTGGCACGGGGAGAAAACCCTGGGGAGCTACTCCCGCTCCCTGTTGTGGCGGAGTTGTTCTGGAAACCGTGGCCGCCTCTGAACTTTGCTCTTGGGAGGGATTATCTTGGTGGCAGAGTCAGGATGGGCAGCGAGTAACTAATTAACTTGGCTCTGCCTCCCACTTGAGGGACATGGCTGGTGCCAGCCCTGGACAACAACCCTGACAGCAGCAAATGACTTAATGAGCGTCCTGAGGAGGGGGAGCCTTACGCCCCAAGTCTCAAAGGTGCTGGCGGAGCAGCAACTGCTGAGCAGGAGACGATGCCCGGTGGACACAGCCGCTGGGTGCCGTCCCTGGCTTTTCCCGTCTCCTGGGCCCCGCCTGGCAGGGCGCATGCCTTTCCCGTGTGGGCCTGGGCCTGCCCGGGCTGCCGGGAGGCTTGGCTCCCTGAGGGTCTGCCGTCCTGCTTGCTGTTGGAAGTGGGTGGGGCTGGAGACAGAGCCCCCACTTCTGGAGGTGTCCGGCCTCGCACCGCTGCAGGACAGGAGGCTCGTGGATGGAGAAGGAGCTGGCTCTGCAGCTACGAGCGTGTGGGATTCTGTGCGCCCGCCGCCCTCCGTGCAGATTCACACACTAACCTGACTGCGGGCGTCCTTTGTCTCGGGTGCTGTATGTGACCTGTTTTTCAAACTGCAGGTGGCTGACACATCCTCACTGAGCTGGAATACCAGAATCAAAGGCTTCATTGCGTGTTTTGTTGCAGGAATTCTCTGCTCTCTGCTGGTGAGACTCCCCGCCCCCCCCCCCCCCCCATTGCCTTTGCTCCTGCCCTCCTAAGCTTGGTCTTTCTGGGTCACCCACCTCCTTTTCTCTGTTGCTTTTCACAGAAATGCATGGGTAAGAGGAGCGGGAGGAGGGTGGGGCGGGAGGGGACTGGGGGGGCAGGTTTCTCGGGGGCCCCGGTTGTGGCTGTGGCACAGATGCAGGCACCTCTGCTTGGTCTTGCAGGGCACGCTTCTGCTCTGGGTGCCGAGGAAGGGGCTGTACCTCTTCGCCGTGTTTTATACCTTTGGTAACATCGCTTCGATCGGGAGGTAAGTTTTTAATCTCCCTCCGCCAGTTACTAGATGGGAGAGGGCTGTGCCTGCGCGGGTGCTGAGGAGGTGCCTCCGTAGTTGTGAGGGTGGGGAAGGAAAGAGGCGGTCAAAGCACATCCTCCATGTCCTGTCCCTTCCGGATACGATTATATTTCTGTTTACCTTGGAAATACCCTGGGGGAGACAGGAGCATGTGATCCTGGGATTTCACACGTGAGGGGACGTGGCGCAGAGCCCTGCGTGGTGTCTGTGAGGTTACGACACAGCCCTCTGCGCTGTTCTTGTCTTCCTGCCGCCAGCGCCGAGGCCGTGATTTCACTACACGTGAAATTTGTTACTCAGAGCAAGACCCTGTCAGACCTGCTCGTGCGGGCAGGGCATCAGCCCGTGCCACGTGCTGTGGGTGCACAGACTGTCCAGGTCAAGTTTGTTCACTCTGACGTCTCAACCACACCCATCGTCTGACAACCCCAGTCCTGCCTCCCGCCAGGGGGAGCGCTGGCCCGACTGTCCTCTTTCCTCGCCTTCCCCAGAATCCGGGGGCCCACCCCTTCCCCATCATTGAGGCTCCGTCCCCTTTGTCCCTATGGCCATTGTCCCTCATACGAGGAGCCTTGATCATACCCTGCTGGGCTGTGAGCATTCACAGACCAGTGTGGCTCGGTTCCTGTCACGATGGAGCTCACTGGCCGGCCAGGCAGACAGACAGAAACTGATACCAGAATATGCTGTGGAGAGAGATGCTCAGGGAGGGCGCTGACCTGGCCTGACCGGACCAGGGACCAGGGACCAGGGACCAGGGACCAGGGAGGGCTTCCTGGAGCAGGTAGAGGGCCAGCTGCTCTCACTGCCCTGTGGCTCACCTGACGCCGCAGGAGTTTGTTGTCGTCCTCTGCCTCCTCCATCGCCCCCTGCTGGCCACTCACTGCCCAGTGAGCTTCCCGGTGGCTCCCGGTCCCTCTCTGCAGGTGGAGTCCAAGCCCATCAGCTGCGTGTGGGCCAGGCCCTCGAGGGCTGCCTTTACCCCTCCCCTCGCCCCCTGCACCCAGCCAGGCTGACCTTCGGCCTTTCCCGAACATCTCCGAGCCTCTGCTCAGGCCGCCTCCTCTGCATGGGATGCCGCCCCCATGCAGCCCCTCTCCATGCCCCCCCCCACCCCCGCAATTGGGTGGATACTCGCTAGACCTGGCTCCAAAGTCACCTCTTCTAAGAGATGCCTCCTCCCCTCTAGATCAGCACCCCCTTTTCACCGGGCTCTGCATGCCCGCATGTATTTACACGGTGGTGCACACGGCGCTTCGTTAACTGCCTCGGCACAAGTCCGTAAGCCTCCTGGCTGCTTGTCCCTAATCAACCCTAAACCAGCTGTTTCCAGCTGGAACATTGACAAATGATTGTGCCTGCCTCTGGCCACCTCCTTAAAGCTTCGTTTATTGAATCCTGCCTCGCACGCGTCTCGTTGTGCCTCTAAAGCTCTCACATGCTCACTTCACCTGCTCACTTCTGGGGAGTTGTGCTTTGGGCAGACAGCGTAGGTTATAATGCAGAGTCTAGACCAGTGATGGCGAACCTTTTGAGCTCGGCGTGTCAGCATTTTGAAAAACCCTAACTTAACTCTGGTGCCGTGTCACATGTAGAAATTTTTTGATATTCGCAACCATAGTAAAACAAAGACTTATATTTTTGATATTTATTTTATATATTTAAATGCTATTTAACAAAGAAAAATCAACCAAAAAAATGAGTTTGCGTGTCACCTCTGACACGCGTGTGTAGGTTATAATGTAGAGTCTCTAGACTGAGCAAAAGGTACAGGCCTGTTGTTTCGTCCAGAAGACGATTTTCTGTTAGTGAATCCCAGCGGGACCGGCCCTGCAGCATTGCGTAGGGAGACCGTCAGGGGAGCGAGTCGTTATTTCCAGGCTGTGTCTAGGAGCTTGTGGCTTTACCTTTAGTCTTAGGTGTTTGTGTATTTGCTGCATTTAACTTTGAAGGCCAGCCTTGGCTGTTGCTTCTTGTTCGATGTTGGCTAAATAATTGACCCACGAGCACAGCCTTGAATTCCACTGAAACTAAACGGCATTTCAAAGAGAGGTGGACTTATGCTTAAAATGTCTGTTTTTACTGAACACTCAGTGGTGAATGCTATCTGCTGGCCGGCGTGTTAAAGCCTGGCTATAACAGGCCACCCCTCGGGCGATGCCACATGGGCACTGCTGTGGAGCCAGGAAATGAGTTGAGGCTGGCTCTGGCCCTGGTGTGGTAGGCACGAGGCCCGCTCTCTCTCGCCTGCCACCAGGCAGGCTCCATTCGCTCACAAGGCACACGGGGTGCCTTTCGGCACTTTGGAACCTAGTGGATGTGGGTTTGAATGACAGCTTCTTGGGCTCCCAGCTGTGTGGCCTTGGGTAAGTCAGTTAACCTTTCTGAGCCTCATTTTCTCATCTCTGCAAAATTGTACTAACACCCGACTCCCAGAGCTGTTGAGGGGAGGAAACGAGGTCACGTATGTGGTAGCTGGCGTCTAGCGAACATTCAGCGATTCCGAGCTGTTCCCAGCAGCAGCAGCAGCAGTGTTCTCTGGAGAGTAGGAAGGAAAATGACCTGCTCTCCTTGTTAACACAGATAACCTAAGCCTGTAAGGTGTGGTTTTTCCTTCTTAACCGCTGAACTGACACAATATTTTGAATTTAATTAAGAAACGTCCACCGCTTGCATCTGTAGACGCTTATGGCGTACACATGGTTAAATTACTGTAGTGTTTCTGGTTGGTCGGTTCGTTTCCATGGGTGGACTGTGAAGGCAGCAAGGTGGAACCTCTCAGAGAGGGTCCTGTCCCCCACGGGGAGGAATGTGGCCCCAGAGTCAGCCCTGCCTGCGCCTACAGCCTCTCCACCACTTACTAGCTGGGTGGCGTGGATGGGCCCAGCCCTCCTGGGCTGCAGTTTTTTAACTGTAAAATGTCTGGTACGTGTGTTCCTGTGATCAGCCCGTTCGTGTTGATGGATTAAATGAGGACAATGCACGCAAGGCCCGTGAGCGCAGTGCTGGGCACACAGTAAGAGCTTTCAAACGTTAGGCATCACTGCCGCCGTTGCCATGGTTGCGGTTGCCCCGGGGGCGGTGAGGAGGCAGCGGTGCTGGTGTGGACTGTTCTGGGCTGATGGCTTGTGTGTGTGTCCGCAGCACTGTCTTCCTCATGGGGCCCATGAAACAGCTGAAGAGAATGGTGGAGCCCACGCGTTTGATCGCAACCATCATGGTGCTGGTGAGTCCGCCTTGCAGCTGGGCTTTCTGCTCTGGGGCATCTTTTTCTTAAACCCTTTTCCTTTCCTCTTGACTCAGTTCCCTGTGCCGGTGACCCTGTGGCAGAAGGGAGCACACTTCCCCTATTATCACCCCCACTTTGTGTTTCTGTGGGTTAAGGTGCTGCCAGTTCTGTAAAGCACCTCCAGAGGGCGCTGCTTGTCAAATTAGCCAAAGCGATAGGGTAGTGAGTGAGCTCTGACACCGTCCTGGTGATGGGTGAAGGTGTACTCAGCCATACGGAGGGAATTGCTCCGAGACCAGGTTCATGCTCAGGGCGGGGTGGGGGGGGGTGTCAATCTCGGGGGAGGGGGCTTTCATCGTCCTGTGACTTTGGGGTCATGTTTTTGTTTCCACGGGTCATCCTCGCGGCCATCGCCCTGTTCCCTGTCTGTTAACCCAGAATGCCTGTCATTTCTTTGGCCCGTTCGCTTCCACGCGACCATCAAAATCACCCCAGACCACACACTCTGTCCATTATAGTCCCTTGGGAGCTCGGCAGCATACTTTTACTGTTGGATTCGTTTGTGTTACTTGCCTTTGTTCAGATACGTACGTTTTCTAAGGCCACGCCCACGTTTGCTGTTCATTTCGTGTCCCTTCAGAGCACTGGGCCCAGTGCTGGACACAAAGGAAATACTTAGACTTATTTCTTTGGAAGTTACTGTTACGGAAGGAGGCGGTGACAGGCGTGATGGCCGCTCTAGCACCTGTCGTCCTAGGCCTGTGGGGGATGGAGGTGGCCTGGACAGGGGTCTTGTAGAAAGAACTTTCTAAGAAGGGACCTAGAGAACGTGTTAGGTGACAAGGACACAGATACCCGACTCGTCGCCTGTGAGCGCGGCGTCTCGTGTTAACCTCTGTCCTCGCGTGGCTCTTGCACTCGCAAGACTGATGTTTGGCAGGAGTTAGGATACAGGGACGTGTGAAGCCTGCTTTTCAGTTTGAGTAGAAAGACGGATGGGACTAGGAATGTGATTTTTGTTTGCTAGGCAGAGATTTTGGGGAAATTAGAAAAGGAGCCTTCTCTTTTTAATCTACTGGGAACCTTATTGGCGATTTTAACTTTTCTGCTAAACGTGGGTGCTCAGGCGGCGAAATGCTTTGAAATGAAGGATGCGTTTGCTGCCGTGCCCGTCACAGGGTCTGAATACTGCAGCTTGGTCAGTATTGGTGTAAGTTCGCCAAGAATAAGTCTTTATGGTTTTCCCCCCATGTTGTCATTGTCGTTGTAGTAACTCAACGTTGTTTCCTTTCTCTCTCCAGTTGTGTTTCACGCTCACCCTGTGTTCTGCCTTTTGGGTAAGTTTGTATTTGCATTCCCCTGAACCCCTCTGGTTTATGCGCTCGACACCCCTGTTCACGGAACCTATCGTTTTCCTTTCAGTGGCACAACAAGGGGCTCGCCCTCATCTTCTGCATTTTGCAGTCTTTGGCCCTGACGTGGTGAGTAACCTTTTCGCTAGCAGTCCCTGCCCACGGCCTGGGATGAATCCGCAGAGCGACACACTCCGCGTGCTGCGGGAGGAGGGCCGGGGGAGCACAGAGCCTTCTCCGCGATGCGGGGCAGCCTGTGACGGCCCGCTGCCAGCAGGTGGCAGGAGTGGGCCGGGGAGGCCGTTGGCCCAACGCGGCCTGTTTGCTGGGCTCATGCTTGATTTCGAGATGTTACTGTTACTAACCCCTCGCGTCCAGTAAGAGCAAGGGTGATGAAGTCTGACAAGAGCTGGTAAAAATAGTCTGTGAGTCAAAAAGACATCAAAGAGGAAGGAAAGTGGTAAGAAAAATAATGAGCATTGCATTTGGGATGGGATGACTCATTGAACAGAAGGACGAAGAGGGAGCTGTCAGCAGGAGACGAGGAGTGCCACTGACGGGCAGCCACGTGGCTGTGGGCGGTTTCAGCATCCGCACCAGAGGCCTGGGGGCATGGCCCGGGGACTGGGACTCGGGCCAAGCCCAGTGGAAGGGCTGCTGGAGATTCGGTTACCTGAACCCACCGTGGGCTGTGGGTTCAGGGCCCGTTCAATCTGGTCCAGCATCAAAGAGAGGGTGTGTGGGGGTGGCACGCGTGGCGTCTGTAGCTTCTGACGTTTCTGAGATCCGCTCGAGGCTTACCAGGGGCTGATATTTGCCGGACAGGTCAGTGCAGGGGTGACTGATCTACTTTGGGAGAAAAGTTTAGCTCTGATGCAAAGAGTAGAGGACTGAAGGCCAGGGAGGATTGGGGGGCAGGAGGGAGGCGGGTAAGAGATCAACCGAAGGAGTTGTAGGTATGCATATAAGCATAATTAATGGACATAAGACACTGGGGGGTAAGGGAGGCCAGAGGATTGTCAAGGGCGGGGGGGGGGGGGGAAGGACACATATGTAATACCCTTTGTAATACTTTTAGCAATAAAAAAAAAAAAAAGACTAGAGGACTGTGCAGTGTTTGAGCGTCCAGGGGTCAGCCACACTCCGGTTTGGTGGCGTGGACCTTGAGACTGCAAGCTTAGCACCACCCCCCCAAGGGCAGTTTTGGACTTTTGGATGAATGTATTTTCACGATCCTGTGGGGAGTCACAGGTAGACAGGCCTGGTGAGTGTAGGTGGGAGGAGAATGCTGGCCCCATTTTGACATGACACATGTTTTGTAGCAGGTGCCGAAAGGGCCTGGTGTGACCACTTATGTTTGTTTTCTGGGGCCAGAAATGTGTACCCACATACATATGTCTTTCTTATATAGTTGTCCCCCTTATCCGTGGGGGACTTGTTTGTTCCAAGACCCCATGGATGCCTGAAACCAGGGATAGTACCAAACTCCATACAGTATATACTAGGCCTTTTTCTACACATAGCCACCTGTGACAAGTGTAATCGGTAAATCAGGCACAACAAGTGGTTAACAACGTAACTAATGAAATAGAACAGCACACAGTGTATTATAATAAAAGTTATGTGAATGTGGTCTCTCTCTGTGGGTACAAAATACCACACTGCGGTGCCCAGCCTTCACGTGAAGCCCTGAGGTGGTAAAGTGCCTTAGGTCGGGGCCTGGCCCCTCTTCACCTACAGGAAGCACTGCCCGGCTTCCCTGGGGCAGACCCGACCGCAGCGTCGCTGCTCTGGCACTCCGGGGCCGTCACTAAGTGAAGTAAAGGGACCCGGACACCAGCCCCGCGGCTCCGACGGTTGAGCTGGTAACTAAGTGGCTGTCGGGCGGAAGCGTGGAGGCGCTGACAGCGTGAAGAGTCACGTCCCGAGCCGGAGAGAGTGAGATTTCATCACGGACTCAACACAATTTAAAACTCAATTATTTCTGGAATTTTCCATTTAGTATATTTGGACGACAGTTGACCATGGGTAAACTGACACCATGGAAAGCAAAACTTTGGATACGGCGGAGAGGGGGGCGGGGAGAGACGGCTGTAGACTGCTTCTAAAGCCAGTTTCAGAGGTCCCGCCGCCCTGTGGCTGAGGTGCCATCCCCGCTGCACTGACGTTCTCTGACGGTTTGCTCTTCCTAGGGCTGAGCAGTTCTGCCCGCTCTCAGGCTTCTCAGGCGCGGGCACGCTCCCTGCTGGCAGGGGTCAGGTGTCTTTGGACTTGGGTTTGAAGAATCAGAGCTTGTTTATAGTTTCATCCATAGAGTAGTTGGTACTGGGTTTTATTTTTTTCTGTTCTTTCTTGTTTCAAAAGTAATTGGAGCAGACAGACAATTTCTCCCAATGGTGGAAGCGGTGTTCTGTTGCGGATTTATGAAATACGAGAGGACAGTGGGTCTGGGGCTTGTTTGGCATTCTCTCCGGACGGCTCTGTGCCATCGGGATTTCTGGACCTGCCTGATGGGGCGACCTGCTGGCTCAGCTGGTCAATGGGTCACCCCGCGAGCCTGAGGTCACAGGGCTTGTCTCCACCTGGGCCTGTTGCCCTCCTCCTTTGGACACAGATGACACGTCCCCCCCCAGTATACGGTGGTATAGTGTGTGTACGTGCACAGTATGTGTGCGCGTGCGTGTGTGTGTGCGTGCGTGCGTGTGTGTGTGTGTGCACGTGCACCCTTCACCCCGAGGGCCCCATAAGTCACTGCAGAAGCTCTTACAGCCCAGAAGCCTGTCCCGCTGTAATCGTCTGCGCCCTTCATTTAATTTGATCTTGTGTTTGTTTCTCCTTGTAGGTATAGCCTTTCCTACATACCATTCGCAAGGTAAGACGGGCTGAATTCGGATGTAACATCTGTCGCTGGGGATGTTGATGTGTGTGCATGGGACTGTTAGTATGGAGTGTTTTCAGAGATTGCTTATTCTTTTATCTTTCCTAAGCCCTTTGAGACCAGCAGGCAGGTGTTACATACCTGCTTATAGATGAGTAAGCTAAGGTCACCCCCGCCCCCATACAGGCCGTGATGGGCATCGACCCAGGCCGCCTGCACGTTCTGCATGATCGGTCGTGTCTGTGCACATGCCCACCATTAACCGGTAGCTTTGAGATTTTCTCAAAGGTGGGTACCACTTCCATGTCCCGGAGCCAGAGGTGGAGGGAGGGAAGCTCGTGCTGTCTTCCTGCAGCATCTCACGGGACGATTCAGGGAGGAGCCTGTGCAGGGAAGGCAGCAGGGCCGGGGCTCCTGTGAGCAGCCCGCCGACCCTCCGGCCTCAGGGCTCATTGACGACTAGAGCGGGTCGGCCCTTCCACCTCTAAGTTCTGGCTCCAAACCTCCTTACATTGGCACCGTCCGTGGTCTTTGCCTCTGACTCTGTTCTCATGTCACCATTTAATTTCCGTTCCTCTCTTGTTGACCAACATGTGTTTCCTAAGCTGTGCCGAGAAAAAGAAAAACGGTGTGTGAGCAGGGGGAGCAGGCTTACGTCTGACGCCCCCAGGTCTGTTGCCGACGGTGATGTGGACGCTGGGAGTGATTGGACGAGAACTTAGAAGCCCTGGCGTTCACGGCGGCCGGTGGCTTTGTGAAGGGCCCCAGCCTTCCAGACCCCCTAATGTGACGTGCGGATGAGCTTCCATGAGGGGCCCTTTCTCACCCAGAGCACCTCCTGGGGCCACAGGGCAGAGCAGAGCTTAGAAACGTTCTTCTAGCATCATCTGGCTGTTCAAGCGCATGGGAGTGCACTCCCTCACCGCCCTGCAGCGGGCTCCCAGGGCCGGGGCACAGGTGCAGCTGGGAGCGGGTGGGCTGGGGAAGCCTGAGCCCACGCGGCCGAGTAGGTTGAGTGCCATCTGCCCGTGCCGGCTCGCACTGCGTTTCCAGGAGAGTCAGTGAGCTCCGGCTTAGGGTGCCCTGTGCTAGGAGCTCCCGGCGGATGTCCGTTGGCGCATGGGCTCCTTGCTGAGAATGAAGGACCCCCGAGCGGCTGTTTCGCTGAATGCATTGACTGCATTCTGTGATTCTGGTTGCTAGAAAGTGCACCTTCCTGGTGCGTCCCTTGGTTCCTGGTGGTCTCTACCTCCTTCCTGTCTTTTCCTTTGATCGTCATGATCGCTGGCTGTCATTTAGGAAATTCCTACTCCATTCAACGCCCTCATTCCCACCGCTGGTCAGGAGTGAGTGGGGACACCCCTTTTCACAGATGAGACATTTGCAACTCAAACAAGGCAAGCGACCTGCCTGGGGGTCTGACCCCACAGTCTGGGTGCTTGCTGCTCTGCAAGGTGCTACTCTGGGTGCCAGGAAATGGCAGGAGCCGGGTGACCATCTCCCATTGACCCCTGTGTTTTTCCTCCCAGGGACGCTGTGAAGAAGTGCTTTTCTGCGTGTCTGGAGTAACGGACGGCCGGTTTCGCAAAGCTTTGGGCGGCGCTGCGGAAGGAAGCTGGCGGACACTTTGTAAATACCTTCGAACCTCTCGCTCACGGAACCTGCCTTTCCTCCTGCGGCAGCGGGTTCCCGCGACCTGAACGTGTACGGACGCTCTGGGAGGCAGCGCTGTGTCCCCAGCCCCAGGGTCTAGCACAGCAGGAGGGGTGGGCATGTGCCTTCCGGAGAGGACTCTTCCTCACACCCTCCTGAACTCTCCGAATTCTCATAAACGAACACCGAGAGCAGCCAGCAGCCGAGGGAGCCAGGATTGCCGGCTGGTGAGGCAGCCCCTCCCCCCCCCCACCCCCCCCTCCTCCAGGGACGCAGGGTGTGGCGGCCAGGGACAGCGTTGGGCCCACAGGGACTTTATAGACTTGTCCCTCAGCTCATCACCCAGGCCCTACACAGTGTCTGCGTGCTTGTTCTCCAGGTCTGGGACCCCGGCTGGAATGGGTCTGTAATATTAGCGCACACCCTTTTCTCTTGGGTTTTCTAGCTTATTTTCCTCATGACTTCCTGGGACTAGATTGAAAACAAAGCCCCAGAAAAAACACTGCTGACAGGAGGGGAACGTGTTTGCTGTTCTCTGCTGTATTTTTTCTTCATTCATTTCCGTTCTGGAGTGGAGCCAGGGGGGAGAGGGTGGGAAGACAGCCCCAGGGGCCCTGACCTCCAGGCATTCCCAGCGTTGGAGATGCTGGAGAAGGCGACCCGTGGGCTGCAGGCAGGCCCAGCTCAGCCGGATGTCCACCCCCACGTGCTCGCGTGTCCCTGGTCTTGTCTGGTCCTCACAAGCCTCGTCGCTGAGCAGTTGAGGAAACTGAGGGTCAGAGAGGTTGCCAGTTCTACCCAAAGCTGCGGCTGGTGGCAGAGCGGAGCCCAAGCAGGCGCCCAGCCTCAGCCCTCTCCGGACCCCGTGTTTCCCGGGGTGGCCCTGGGGTGCTCCAGGGCCTGGGTCCCTGCTTCCCTCCGCGCCTGTGACCTCTCGGTCCCGATCTCCATCACTGCGGTGTCTCCAGCCCTGTCCCCTTTGGGAGGCGCCCTGACCGGTGGCCTCTCTGTTCTCTGTGTCCTTGAGCCCGTTGCCGCCTGACCATCAGAACCTCCTGTCGGGGCCTCTGGAGTTCTTGGCATTGAAGGACCTCCACCGGGCCTTTCTGTCCTTGCCCAGCTCCAGCCGCCCACTCGGGCTCGCGCTCACACCTCCACACCGAGGTGGTCCCCTGGGCTGGGCTGTTGCCGGACCCTCTGCCGCTGCGACCCAGACCGGCCAGCCTTTCCTTTTGCGCTGGGAGGTCTGAGCGGGCCTGGTGAGGCTGTGGTCCCTCACCCGCTTTCAGCCGGGAAGGGAGGTTGGAGAGTCCAGGTCTTGATGGGCACTGCACTGCCTTTAAGATGCACCAGGGTGTGTAGATGGTGGTGAACTGGGCTTTGAGGTCAGACCCGTCTGGGTGTGAGTGCGGCTCTGCCATATGCCATGTTGAACAAGTCACTTAACCCCTGGCCTCTAGATTGCTCATGTTTAACCAACGGGAGTAAATCCACACCGGCTGTGGCAGGAGAGGGCCCAGCATGGTGGTGGGGTCGCAGTAAACGAGGAAACGTTACTTAACCCCAGAAATCACCGATGGCCGCAGAAGGTGACAGGTGCATGTCTCTGGCCGTTAACTTTTCTAAAAGCAGTGCCCTGGTACAACATGTCTGCTCGGTAGGTGTTGCCATGCGTGATGTCATTTAATATCCACAGCAACTCGCCGGTGGTGGTCTCGTCTCCATTGTTCAAGGGGAGCGGCCTCAGGGGTCTGTGCGGGTCCCACCAGGAGGGGGCCGCGGCTCTTGCAGAAAAGCTGCTTTGCCCTAACTCTGGCCTGTGGCCAGTTTGCTCCGACTTCTCCAGTCAGGACACGGCAGCGCGGGCGTGAGCCTGCCTTCCAGGACCTTCCAGAAGCCTAAGTTTCTCCTGCTGCTGCCCGTGCTTTGTCTGCTTCAGACTTGTTTTTGTGGGAGGAGGACATCCATTTCAAATCTGCTGAACACCGTTTCCAAGCAACTGCTGGTTTACAGCAACCTCGTGGGTGGCAGAGACGGGGAGTGAGGAATTGGGGTTTCAGACCCGGGGCTGTCGGGGTCGTCCTGCTCCCCTGCCTTGCATGCTCACTGCTGGGGGGAGAGACGATTGCATTTTGGGAGTCGAGGGAACCACCGAGGTGACACCTGCAGACGGGATGCGCTCACCTGAGGTCACAGTTCAGCTGTGGGCAGCAGGACCTCCGCCCCTTCCTCCATGGCCCTGCTCCCTGAGGCCGCTGTGCTGGGAGGTTGGGAGCAGCTGGACAGCAAGCTCCTGGCCTCTCCACGCCCCTCAGAGCCTGCCTCCCACCTCCTGTCTCCCTCTGCCTCTAGTCTCGGCTCCTCGGCGTGGCTGTGCCCCGGCCACCGCTGCCCAGGCCCGCTGGCTCCTCGGCCCCCTCTCCCGGGCAGGCCGCCGCGTCTCTGGGAAGAGCAAAACTGCCCCCAGCTGAGCATTGTCACGGTGCTTACCAGTGCGAGGAGCTTCTGTCACTGGTGGGGCGACTGTGGGCTGTTTACCCGCGTGACCCTCCCACCCCAGGCAGTGTGTGCTCTAAATGCAATGGAGAAGTGGGGCGTACCTTAAAGAGGGGTGTGAGGGGTGTGGGCATGCTGCTCTGGCTGCGTCTGGCTTGGGGAGCGCCACAGGTGACAGCTGTTGCTGCGGGAGTGATGAGACCACGTGGAATGAGTTAAGAACGGCTGCAGTGCTGTGGCCGGGGACCCCTCTGTGGGGCAGCCTGGCCAGCCCTGTCCCCTCAGATCACTGCACAGCAAGTCAGTGAGCAGGCTCATAGAGCCACGTGGCTAGATTGCTGATACAGTTTTGACTTTAAAACCCAAGTATTTTTTGATGTACGATGTGCAGTAGTTTCTTTGCAGATGTTATTTTTTAAAAAGCTAACAGACCTCCCTCTGAAGTTAAATGCAGATTTATATCCGTGTGTCTCTTGATAAGACATTAACAGAAGAATTTAGATTTAGAAGTCCAGATCTTTTTGGAAGTCCTTAAAACATTGGGAGGTTAAATTATGTGTTTAAAGTACCTTCTAACACAAAACTTGATGAAATTCTGAGATCTTGAGGGTTTTATTTGAGTAAAGAGGGAAGGTGCTGTGCAAGGTATTTAATCCCAGTTCACTCAAGATACAGGGTGTCTAGTTCCCCTTTCGGCCGCTTTCCAGTTCTACTCCGATGCACGGGTGACCTCCGGGTGCACCGGCACCGCTCCCGGAGCGCCCGCAGGCTCCTCGCTCCAGGGCCGGAGAGGCCCAGGAGGCCAGTGGGGGCAGCAGAGCCCGAGTACATGGACAGAACACGATTACCGCCCCCCCTAGCAGGAGCTGGCCAGCTGATCATGGCTCAGAAATGCACGAAACATCCTGTAGCTCTATGAGCAGGGAAGAGTGAGTCCATGGGACAGGAGGGATCGGCTCTTTGAAGCCAAAGGTCGGTCCATAGCATTGTGATCAGCGATTTCAGCCTTTTCATCGCGTGGCACAAACTAACTGCTAAAATTCTGCGGCACGCCAAAAAGCATGTTTTTTGACAATTTGACAAAAAAAAAGGATAGGTGTAGTTTTGGTTCATTCCCACTGGTTGACTGTTGTGTTGGCTGTTGTCATTTTTATTTGGCGATCTAAGGGAGAAGAGGTCAGTGCCTGGACTAAACAGTCAGGTATTGCACGTTTTGAAGTTTTTGGCTCACTAGTTGAAAATCGGTGTAATAAACAATACTAGTTTATTACAATAGCAAAATAATGTCACTACATCTAACAAAACCAAGAAAATGTCACAGATAAACGCTCCCTGATGTGAACGGACTGAGCGTCCTGGGACCATGCGGACGAGCCTGGGCAGGTGCGGCCGCGGCCGGACATCCGTGCTGGCAGGAGGCAGTGAGGCTTACCGACCGGAAGTCTGGATGAACCTCGCGTTTGTGAAATGTCCTACAGGAGAATCACAGCTTACAGTTCATCTTGCCTTTCTGCTATGACACATGTTTACTTTGCCTTCCGTATATTTGCTTGACTTAGCCACTTTGAACAAGGAAAGGAAACACACACAAAAAAACCTCCCCTCTGAACTCATATTTTTTGCTGCGTTTGTAAATTGTGAAGGTGGGGGTGAGGATGTTCAGAAACCCATGGAAATTTCTGTGCCTTCAGAACATTGTGCCTGTTCAATATGATGAGCTTTTAAAACACTTTGTTAAAACGTGATTCCGTTTTTGTAATTGTATAGTCAGCAGTTTTGAATGTTGCTGATGGCATCACTGAATTTTTTAATATCCAGAAATGTTTGTGTGCTCCTTTTCCTACCTTGAGCTATTTCATACAATAAAGATTGTGCTCTTTTTACTCGCTCATTTCAGAGAGAAAGGATTTTGCTGGTATAAGCTATTTCACCCCCCCACCCCAAAAAGAATCACAAAACAATTCTTTTTTTGTTGTGCTTTTTTCCCCTTCTTTAATAAATGATAACGTTATGATCTTTAATAAAGCTGGTGTTGCCTCTTATTCTTGTTTGTATTTCCAGGAGTCACTACACCAAATGATGATTGTATGGCTATAGGAAAGACCACACCTTTAATATGAATTCTTAGTGGGTAGCATACGTTGTAGGCACTTCCAGATGTTTGTTAAGCTGAATTGGTATGTGGCCCTCTCTTTCAGAGGCCTTAGGGATGGGTCTAAGGACAGTTTTGAAGGTGTTTGAAAGGTAAGGTGTTTTGGGGCTGTTCCTGCACCCCTAGCTTGTTTAGTCACATTGACTAAACTAGGATTGTTAGATTCATTAGCATAAAGTTTTTAATTTTTAAAAATTCTTTTCATGTCTATAGGATTTGTAGTGTCCCATCTCTCATTGCAGAGACTGGTACTTTGCGTCTCTTCTCTTCGCCTGAGGTTTATGAATTTTATTGACTGTTTCAAAGAAACCTCAGTTAAAAAGATTTGAACAAGTATTTTTTTTTTAAATATATTTTATTGATTTTTTACAGAGAGGAAGGGAGAGAGATAGAGAGTCAGAAACATCGATGAGAGAGAAACATCGATCAGCTGCCTCCTGCACACCTCCTACTGGGGATGTGCCCGCAACCCAGGTACATGCCCTTGACCGGAATCGAACCTGGGACCTTTCAGTCCGCAGGCCGACGCTCTATCCACTGAGCCAAACCGGCTTAGGCTTGAACAAGTATTTAACGATGTGAATGGTTAACAAACATATCTAAT